AAATTTACAACAAAAACACTACAATTAATGCCGTAGTTAACTTTTCCAATTTCGAAAAGTGTAGTGCTAACTTGACACACGTCTTATTTGCCATGATTATTTGGCCAGACATCTGTTAGATATCCGTCAGAATCGTCTGTCAGACTTTCCCACGTCGTGTCGGTTAGACTTCCTGTCAACCTCTCCATACGCTTCTCTGACCGATATCGGCCAAAATCATACAGATTTCTGACTTTTTTGCCGACGAGTCTGACGGATATCTAACAGATTTCTGGCAATTTTGCTAGCTGGGTTATTATATTTTATTATTTCTATAATTTTCTGGAATCATGGATCACTTTTTCCTTTTTCTGAAGTCGGTTAAAAATAAAAGCAAATAAAAGTATAAAACAAATGATTAAGTGACCATCAAGTCAAGGTGCTGGAATGGTATTTTCAGAGATAGTAGTAAAGAGTTCTAGCTTTAATTTAAGCCAGGAGGTTCTATCACCTTTTATTTCTTTACTAGAGCTTCTAAAATATTGCAAAAAATTCGATTTTTTGCCGGAAACTTTATGCTTACAAATTCGTAGTCAAACAAGTAAGAAAGTCTAAGTTCGGGCGGAGCCGAACATTAAATACCCGGCGCAGGTACTAAGTATATGATTTTCACCTTTCGAAATTTCGAAATATTGAAGTTTCAAGCATTTCTGAAATTTGCCGTTATATGAAAAGTGGTCGTAATTTGAATCTGATTCCAATAATTTTCAACGTTTTGCTTTAATGTGGCAAGCACAATAATCATACCGAGTTTGGTACAAATTGGTAGAACGGTTATCGAGATACATATATGTGATCATAAGTAGGCGGTGCCACGCCCATTTTCCAAAATTTTATCATAAACGTATTTCTTGGTAAAGAATTGTTGCAAGCATCAGTTTTGAATAAATTAGCTTTAATATTTACTGATTTATCGAAGATTTCCTATTTCTCCAAATCACCGTTATATGGGATGTGGGCGTGGTTATTGTCCGATTTTAAAAAGTTTCGGCGGTTTTTTATGCTGTACCAAGGCCAACAACTGTGCCAAGTTTGGAAGAAATTGGTGCAGCGGTTACCAAGATATACACATGTAACCATAAGTGGGCGTGGCTACGCCCATTATTCAAAAATTTATTATATTCTTATTTTTCGTCTAAAAATTATTGTAAATATCAATTTTGTGTGAATAATCTTCAGTAGTTACTAAAATATCGCAGTTTTCGTATTTCTGAAAATTACCGTTATATGGGAGGTAGGCGTGGTTATTGTAAGTGCACATACCAAGTTTCGTTAAGGTATCTCAATTTTTACTCGAGTTATCGTGTGCACAGACGGACGGACGGACGGACGGACGGACGGACGGACGGACAGACAGTCACCGCTTAATCGATTTCTCTTTTCATCCTGATCATTTATGTATACATTTGTCTATATCTATCTCGATTCGTTTTGCCTGTTACAAACAACCGTTATGTGAACAAAGTTATAATACCCTTATGCACAAGTGCGCTCGGGTATAAAAAAGTCTTTCAAAACCAGCTTTAACATTTGCCGTAATTTTTTTTTTTTTTTGTTGGCCTATGTTATCCATTAAAAATTAGCAAAAATTCATATTTCCGATTTTTCTACAGAAATTTTTTCTTGTGTGTTGCATAATACCCTTCGCTCCCCTATTTAGTTTTGCAAAATAATTCAATGAAAATCATCAGACATGTGCAGTAGGGTGGTCAAAAAATGCATGCGAATAACTAAAGTCGGAATTTTTATGCTCTCTCACCCTAGGATTGTTAAGATTGTTCTATTCCGAAAAAAATATACCTCTATTTTTTATTTTGAAATCAAAAAATATTTAGAGGTCACTCAAAGTTTTCCATGTATGTATTTTATATTGGGAAAAACCACTGTTCGTAGAAATCATATAGAATATTTGAAAATCAATATTTTTCGATGGGA